CTTCTTTCTTATATCTTTTATCTTGCAGAATATGGGCTTATGACACGCTCACAGTACCTTGTACCCAGACACAGCACTGTCTCTTGTGGGACAGACCCAAAACATCATACATTTGCTAAAGCTATGAACTAATAATAAATTCCTATTCAATCCTGAATAAGCACTTCAGACAAACACATTTTCATAACCATCCCTTTCTCCAAGATCCTGTTTTTGGTAACAATATTAAAAGAGAAAAACAATAAACTTGAAACAACAGGCACTGAAATTGTAAAGTTTCATTCTATTTCCTATTTCCCTGCCCTCATCTCCTCCCCTGATATAAATACAGGCTATGGTAGATACAGTCAGGTATTCTTTAGCTTAATTATGAAGAACATAGTTACCTGCATGGATAATAGTGGTTGACGCAGGATAGATTTTTAAAGATTCATAACTATTGTCCATGGTCTAGTTCTTTCACTGTTTGAAAAATGTCTTTTGTTAAAGCCTTTTCCCCCCCACATATGTTCCTGCAAAATTGGTCTGACGTTCTTCTCCTTATTGTGTTTTCTTCCAGATTCTACCATAGCAGTCTGGGCACAAGTCCAACATTTATAAATGAAAACTTCTTCATGCAGCACAGCGTCAGCATCACATATCAGCAACTAAAATACTGTCCCTCTGTCCTGAATCCAGACTTTAGAATACACCATGACAACAAGCTGCTTCTTTCAATTTAGCAATACAGCAGAAGTTTGTTTGTGTAGGAAGTTGAAGCATCTGGACCAATGAGCTTTCACTGTGGGCGTGGCCCCAGGCAGAGAAGAGTCTCAATTGGAAACAGGAACTGAAAGTACGTTTAGTTAAGCCTGCTTTCCCTCTAACCAATCTAGCTGTCTAAGTAAATGCCTGACCTTGTGGTATAAGGTTCAGTCATAGACTTCTGTGGCAGTTTGATAAGATACAGTAGACTAATTTATTGGCTATTTTTTAAAAAAATGTAAAGGAAGTTTTATTATACTTTCCTGACTTTTTTTTTATAAACAAACATCTGAAAGACATTTCAGTATATCACAAACAAGAGGAAATCCAAAGCACGTGACTTCTAAGAAAATGATGCAACTATAAGTCTGTGCCAAAATTTACAGTACTTCTTTTGTATTTATTTATTGATTGATTGATCGAAGGGGAATGGCTCGAGGAAGAGGCAATAATGAGTTAACTACAAGTACAGAATTATGCTAAATTGGAGAACTATTACTTCATAAAAATATTGTAATTACTTCGGGCAGAATTTTTTTAGACATTACACATGAGTGAAACCTCTAAAATAATTTATTTTCCAAAATTAATTGGTTTCCTGGTAAGTGTCTTTCTGGAATGAACAACTAATTACAAAAATCCAGACAGAAATAGAAGGCTACAAGTTAGAAAGAGGCAGCAACAGGGAGAAAGTTTCTTTACGGTGACTTTAGATGAAAGAAAATGTTACTTAGCACTGCTAGGCATTCAGTCCTTCTGCCTCTTAGTTCATATCATTAGGAGGACACAACCTAACATGTCAGCCCTAAAATAAAAAGCCAGCAGCTTGACACACTTCTCTATTAAACTTCTTAATTTGAGTGTTCCATTGTTTGTAAAAAAATACATATTATTGATTTAAAAGAACAAAAAAACTTCACACAAATGTCCCAACATAGTTACAAGAAAGCCAACATGTTACGAAGCTCAAAATAAATAAAAGTGGTGCATGTGGGAAATGTTTACAACCAGACCCAAAAATCATAGGAAACTTTAAACTGGTCTTATGTTCACTCCAAGGAAAGGTGGACATTTAAATACAATGCCGAACTTACAAAACTCCGTGAACTTTGGGTATTTAAGATTTTGGTTCAGCCCATGAGAGGTAGGGAACAGCCATAAAGTTTTCATCTGAGCTTAGATCCAAATTCACCAAAAATTTGTGGGTATTTGAATCCAGAATTATAGTTCAGGCCCAAATCTAAGTTTGCTGATCTTTTGAGTGAAGCTGCACTGATACAGAGGGTGCTGTCATTCTTTCCCTTCCTAACTTTTTATAGCACTAAAAGAGAGAACAGGTTTGATTGTTTCCAGATTGCAAAATGGCAAGAAAGTGGTGATTACTAAACTGGGCTGAGAGACAAAGCGTTTGAACAGTGAGTGCTGAAACCAAAGTCCATTGATCTCAATCATGAACTCAGGCTCTCAGCAATCAGCTACTTAGGGCTGTAGGGGTGGGCTGTTCCCTCTTTCTCTTCACACAAGAATGAGCAGGTCTCCTTTCCATGAGGGGCCGTGGCTGTATATGGAGCAGAGCCCTACAGTCATGCCTCCTTGTTCCTGAGCTTTTGCTGCTAGGGGGCCTGGCTTTATCTTGCAGAAATCCACTACTGTTCTTCGCAAGTGTCTTCTGGCTCCCCTTATTTCTCATCTCAATTTCTCTTCTCTTTGATTTAAACACAGTGCAGTGTGGGTAGGTATATCAGAGTCCTTTGCTCACTGCATCGTTCTGGACAATTTTCATGGCATATTGTGGGATTACATATTCCCACCCTGGGGAATTGTGGGAGCAGGTTTCAAACACCCATCATCCGTTTCACAGTCTCCCAAAAGTCACCTGGTGCCCATGCTCTTCCCAAACTGCTCTCTAGCAGCATGGGTGAGGGCCAGAGGTGCACAGGAAAGCAGATCCTGTTATAATGGCAAGGCCATGGCTACCTGCAAAGATGCTGAGACAAGGCAGAATAAGAGCCACACCTGGCACTCCAGGACATTGGGCATCTGCAGCATACTGTGCCTTCCATCTAGCAATGAAGGTCAGGGAAAGAAGAAGCCCTGTTCCCCCAGAACAGATGAAAAGCTGACAGGCCAATTTAGAGAAGCTCAAGAGGAGCAATTATTATTGCACAAGTTGGTTGGCAGTTTTCTGATGGACACGGACTAGGGAATATTTTCAAATTTCCATACTCACACCATAAGCTTTTTAAGGGCTCATCTGTAAACTCTAAAACATAACATATTGTACAGCTGCACTCAGGATCTGAAATACTATTTGTCACCCTCTTATCAAAAAAAATTGCGTCTTTAAAATGGGCTACAGCTGTGCGAAAGCAGGTAACACCAAAGGCATGTACATTCCAGAGCAATAATTCTGTGTACTGCTTTTATGCAAAGCTTCCATTGTACAGTTTAAATGACCATTCATAAGCAAAAACCAAAATAGAGAAACCCCAAAGCCTTCTAGCTTGTCAATAAATATTGGAACAAGCCTGAATGAAAGGCAAAAATGCTGCTGTGGTGTAGATACCTGCTTTTTCATTTATCGTGATCAATTCATTTTGGAGAAGGACAGCACTGAGACCCTCAGAATCTCAAGAGAAATGGCACACCCCTCATTGTTTGGGACATTCAAAGCAATACTGGACAAATAACTCAGATGGACAATATGCCCAAGTTGACAAGGATTTCATAAGTCTTTTACACCTCTAGATGCTAAGGCGCTCATCTTAGCTACAGTGGCATAAAACCAGCATAAGTGATATCAGAATCAAGCCCATTGATTCTACATGTGACTCCAGATTAATGTGGTAAAGAAATACCTGGAAAATTGCTTTATGTGTTATAGGGGGGAATGCTGCACCTTTTCTGCACTGGAACTAGTCTGTTTTCATAGTTTGGGAGAGGAACGGGATGCTGGGATGCAGCACAGGGGATGCTTTCATGTGGCTATAGAGGGACTGTTTGGGGTCAAGTGCAGGCCAGAGACAAGTAGAGAGGCAGGGCTAATGCATCTCTAAACAATGTGCACCCACAAGCCATTTCCCACCTGCAGAGGGAGGTACATTACAGCTATGGGGCTTCTTCTGTCTTGGGACTGACATTGCAGCTGTGGAGTAGCCTGAAGAGGCTCCCCCACTCCCACAAGAGAGTCCCCCCAATTTCTCAGACCGGAGGGAGGATTTGCCTCATCCTGAAAGGAAGAAAAAAAAAATCAGCAAAAATATTGTTGAGAGAGACATTTATTTTTCTGGGGTGAAAAGTCTCATGAAAATAGATGAGAGAATTCCACAATGGATTGCAATCAAACCTAGCCTAGTAGGCATTATATTTACCGCTCAATTTGGGGTGTTTATAGGGGAAGAGTGGTGGTACTCTCCAAAGCTCTATCTACAAGCTAAGCTGTACCTAGCTGAGATGCCAGAATGAGAGGCCGCTCACAACAGACTCTGCAACTGTTCGGAATATGGTCGTGCACTCTCTGCTGACTCCTTGGGTTTGACTTCCCTTCAGTAGAGTTCTGATGCATCATTGGGCAGGACAAATAAAGGCACAGACCCAATATGAATGTCCCTGAGACCCTGAATCCCAGAGGCCTGGGATGCCATTAGAATCATAGTTTTCATTTTTTTTTAATTAAGTTTCTAACCCTCATAGTTGTGGAAGAGAGTTTGAAAAGGTGACACGAGGGTAACCCAAGCGCTGTTGGCTATCTAAGACTCCAGCAGAGGAGAAGCAGCAGCCACAAGAGCCAGAAAGGAATTGCTTGAGCCACACCACCACCTGAACAGACCTGGTTTTCACTAATCTGCAGGTGGTGTCTGGTGGAATGTAGGGTTTGCATGCTTTCCTGGGATTGCCTCCCCTTTGTTGGGGCTCAGATACATTCTAGGGCACTTCCTGGTGGCCTTTTCTCACACACACACACACACACACACACACACAAGGGAAGCACTTGGGAGGGTCGGAGAGGGAAGTGAACAAAAAAATTGGCAAGCAGACTTTCTCCAAAATTCCTTCCACTTATAGTATTGATTACACCAAACTGTGCAGATCTGTGATCCTCTTCTTTCCTTCCTTATAGGAGTTAGTAGTAGTGAAATAGTTACAAAGGATGACATTTAAATCATTATCATCTTTGGGCATTTGAGCTAAAACCAAATAGAAATGAAGGGTGCAGGTCACCCCACTCAGAGCCACTGTGTCAGGTTCTCTACAGATTCAGCCATGAATTACTGCATTGGGTACAGTTGTTTCATGTTTTCAAGATTTTTTTCTTTTAACCATAAGAGCTAAAGCCTTGCTTTTTAAAATAAAACAAAGGTGAGATTCCGAAGGGTAAGATTCTTGAGAACCAAGAGTCGCAGAGTGTCATTTAAAGTGAGGGTGGCCAATGGGTTTGTCCCCCAACTTTCCGTCCACCTGCAGCCTGACACTTCTGGCCCATGGGCTCCTACACCCACCCCCTCCAAATCTGAGTCAGTAGTGTTGCAACCTGGTGCTCTGGGTTACAGTACCACTCACGTTTGGCCTGGCCAAACATGGCAGGGCCATGACCCAGGTCAACTGCCCTGGCTCCAGGGCCTATGTTGAGAACAGCCTAACAAACAAACAAACAAACAAACAACAAAAAGAGGTGCCAGGTCACTGACCCATCTCAGTTCAAGCCCTGACTACATATGGTCATACTATGTGGAATGATGCTGCAGAATGAGACTCAGCAGTTACTAGTGAAACACTGTGTGAGTATAATTCTGGGAGTAGCTGGAGCACTTTGTTCTCTGCTTCAGGGGCTTTTTTTTTTTTTTTTTATCTTTGTTTTTTTACCTTTTTTTGTTGTTTTTTTTTTTAGGGTTTTTTTTTTTTTTTTTTAAACGTGCTTAGATTAAGCATTGTGGGCAGGGA